AGAGAGAGAGAGAGAGGGAGAGAGAGAGAGAGATTACATCACGTGCCTAGGGTTTTGGATGAATGGATGATTCACAAGTGAGGAGGAATGCCCATATATATAGACTTAGGGCCTAATATAATAGTTAACAACCCCTTCAAACTCTGAAGGTGGAGGTGAAGGATCCGAAGCATTGAGTTTGAGCAAGTGAAGCCGATGCTGCTCTTTGGTTTGTGCTTTGGTGAAATATCAGCCACTTGCAATTCTGACGGCACATACTGAAGAACAATTGTTTTCTGATGATGACAGTGAAATCGTGTAAAAGAAGTATTAACACCAATGTGTTTTGTAAGTTCATGCCCTTACTGGATCATTGGCAATTTGGATTGCTCCAGTATTATCACAAAGAAGAGGCGTAGGATCATCACATGGAATACCAAAATCGGTTAACAACAATCGAAGTCATATAATTTCTAAGATGGTAGTAGCAAGTGCTCGAAGTTCTGCCTCTGTGCTAGATCGAGATGCAGCTGCCTGCTTCTTGGACTTCCATGTAAAGGGAGAAGAACCAAGAAAAATGCAATAACTAGAACAACTAGAACGACGATTGTTGGATTACTTGCCCAAGTAGAATCCGAGTAAGCATGAAGCTGGAGCGGACTATCACGAGCATACAATAAGCATTGAGATGACGTTACCCTTAAGTATTGTAGCGAAGCAAATGCCCAAAATAAACCGAAGTAGGAGCACTCACAAACTAACTCAAGATATGAACTGCGTGAGCAATATTTCACGCAATATCAAGCTGGTAAAAGTAAGGTAAACGAGACTGCCTACAATATGTCGATAGCGAGAGGGATCCTCAAGAGGCGTACCATCATTGGGACGAAGCTGTAAGAGAAGATCCATATGTGTAACTGCTGTCCGATTATCAGTAATACAGGAACGAACAAGAAGGTCGTGTATGTATTTGGACTGAGAAAGGTAATAGCCCGAGGCAGAATGCATCACCTCAATGCCCAAAAAGTAGCTAAGGGGACCAAAATCAGACATCTGAAATTGTTGACCAAGTTGCTTCTTCTTGACATGAAAAATTGGTTAATCAACATATCATCAACATAAGAAGAAGTAAAGTACGCCCACGCGGAGAGAGATGAATAAACAAAGCAGGATCATGATAAGGAGAAACCAACAACCCATATGGCAAAAACAAAACGCTCAAACCAAGCACGAGGAGCCTATTTGAGACCATATAATGCGCGACGAAAAAGACAAACATGTCGAGAGGGCTGCATATAAACTTTCCTCATGCAGATCACCATGAAGAAAAACATTCTTCACATCCATCTGAGATATGGTCCAAGAAAGAGTAGCAACCACTGCAATCAAAGTACGAACAGTAGTTATGTGAGCAACGAGAGCAAAAGTCTCATCATAATCCCGCCTATGAGTCTGCTAAAACCCTCTAGCAACAAGACGGGCTTTATATCTCTCAATGGGCCATCCGACTTGGTCGTAACCTTAAAGACCCACTTACAGGTGATAAGCACGACATGCGATGGTAATGGAACAAGATCCCAAGTGTCTATACGATCAAGTGCAACAAGTTCCTCTTACATAGCCAGTTGCCACTCACTCAGGAATACTTGAAGCTTCCTCATAGGTTGAAGGCTCATCAATAATAGCACCAGCACGTGGAAAGCCCAACTTATCAGGAAGTGCAATAGTAGCACGATTACGTAAATTATATCTCTGACCAACCTCAGATTCTCCAAGAATGGCATGTGACACATCAGAATCAACAGAATCATCTACGACAAGAGCATGGACTGTGTAGTGGAATGAGGCGGAAGCGTTCTGTGACCTTTGGAACGACGAGTATAGACTTGTGTGATAAGTTGTTTATGTTGTGGAGGCTCAGATATGGGTGGTGTAGGCTCATCAGAAATGGGCGGTGAGACACGGACATCATCATCAAGAAAGAAATAGAAGCAAGACATAAGAATGACGTAGACTCTGAAGAAGAAGATGTGGAATGAGTGAAGGGTTATAAAAGAAAGGACGATCCTCGACAAAAGTTACATCACGAGACACACGCATGCGACGAGCAGAAGAATCATAATGATAACCTTTATGCTCAAAACTATACCCCAAAAAGACGCACTTAACCGACTGACCAGTCAGTTTAGTGTCCTCACAAGGAGCAAGCAATACATGGCATGTACATGCGAAAACCCAAAAATGATCATAGCTATGGGGAATACCAAAAAGAACCTCACCAGGACACTTACCAAACAGTTTGGAAGATGGCTGTCGGTTTATAAGATAAACAGCTGTAAACACAACTTCTCCCCAAAAAAATGCAATGAGAAGTGTTCTAGCAGTCTCAATGAAATGGCGGTGTTTTCTTTCTGTGACACTATTCTGAGCTGGGCAAGAGTGCCCTCAGAGGTCAAAAACTGACGAAAATTGTTAGGCAAATACGAACCACCAGAATTAGAACAAAAAAACTCGAATAGGAGTATAAAACTGAGTATGAATCATGCGAGCAAAATCTTTATAAATGGAACACAACTGAGAACAACGTTTCACACAATAAATCCAAGTATATCGAAAATGATGATCAATCAAAAGAACATAATATTTATTGCCACCTTTTGCAGGGAAGGAGGACGGACCCCATACATCAGAGTGAAGATCAAAAGATCTAGAAGAATGAAAATACTAGTAGAATATGGGAGTTGCAACTGTTTCTCGAGTTTGCAACCCTTACAATGAAAATTTGACTCAACAGAAGTACGACCTAAACAACCAGTACTAATCAAAGTAGTCAAACAAGAGCCACTCAAATGACCAAGACGATGGTGCCACTTGACGAAAGATGAGGCAACGGATGACACACGAGCGGTAGAACCAGTGAAAGATGG